ACGGATGGATTTTAAAACTTATTTTGCTGTTGAAGCCTTAATTCACGGAGGACGCTCGCCACTGATACATTACTGCATAAGTTACGTAATTTAACGTTATTAGGGAGTGAACACAAAAGACTATCTTTTAGCACAGATAAACAGAATTATGGCACGCTGCAGGAGGTTGTTTTTACCAAAATCCCAAACCACATCAGTTCAGCATACAGTAATATACAGAGCAACGGTAGAATGGAATTCACTTCCAAATCATATTACACAACAAAATAATAATAATAGTAATAATAATAATAATAATAATAAAATTATATATATATATATATATATTTTTATTTTTATTTTTATTTTTATTTTTTAAATGCTAATACAGAATAAGAGGAAGTAATTAATAAGTACTCTTTGGTGTGAGAGGGTCCCATGGACAATCAAGGGGGAATCAATCAATCAATCAAACAGCGCTGTTACGGCGTACCTGAAGTGGTAGGTTCCGTCCTTCTGGCCAAAGCCACTTCCAGGTACGAGGCAGATCCCTGTCTCCTCCAGCATCTTCATGCAGTAAAACATATCTGGCTGCTGACCATTGTCCTAACAGAGAGGAAAAGAAACATTATAGAGCCATTTGAGACTTCTGTCTAGTAAAAAGTATTTAATCAGGAACTTAGCAACTTTTTCTTTGATAGGTGCTGTTTTGCTTTGACTATAAGCTAGAACACTGTGACTTACAGTATAACCTTCATACTAAAAGAACTGTACTTTTTTTGCAGCACTCCCACTGAGCTGCTTTCTTTATTATTTTTATTCGACTACATTCTGTTTTTGATTCATTTTGTAGAAAATCAAACCCATTTACACCAGAATGGGACCAAATTAAAGCAAAAACAGTCCTCCAGAGCTGAGTAAGGACAAGACATTCCCTTCAGCAGTATAAAGATAACTGAAGGTTAATAAAACAAAAAGTTTATTTACAAGAGTATTTATTTGAGGTCAGATTAACCTCAAGCATATCTAATTTCCTCTAAATCAAACGCTTTTATAAAAATCTGTTTTTTAAAGCACCTCTGTCCTAGAATTGGCTAAACATTGAGATGAAGAACAAGCTCAATGGACTGCACAGCGGCTCTATTTAAACTGCCAATGGTGATGTTGGCAAGAGTGTCTTTATGTGGTTTCTGGGGAAAAAAGCACAGCCACAAAACAAAGGAATGCTACAATTGTGTGATCAAGATGGTGAGCAGAGTCACTGGGATTGATCGGGTGTCAGGAGGTCAGCTTTACTCTGACCTTATCCTCTGTAAGGCTAATCAGATTCTCAGTTCGGCTCATCCGCCCTCTCTGAAATTCCTACTGAGCAGTCAACCTCGGGACAGAATTGAAACCACAAACCATTGGAAATCATTTGTTCCCTTTAGCAAACAGGGAGGTGGAGGCACAGTGTACTGGACCTGGTTAAATGGTTACCTAATCCGGCATTGTGTAGAATGTGAGATGTGTGTTTAATGCCACGGTCACAAAGCGGGTGGAGAGGATGAGTATTATTGAATTAAGGGGAAAATAATAATAATAATTGGCCAGAATAATAAGTATTACATAAGTGAGAGAGTTGAGTAAAAAATCTTGTATAACTACAATCCATTTTATCTCTCTCTTTTTTTGCTGCTTCTGATTAATGCAATTTCCTTGAAGCGACAATACAGTCAATCTTGAATCACAGAAAAATGTTTATAAGAGTAGGTTAAGGACTAACCGTGGCCTCTTTGACGGCCTTTTCAGAAATGGTTATGCGAGGGAAGGAGTACATGGCACCCTGCACAGGATTGCAGCTGATGCCTTGCACCGTATTGAGAACCTGCTCTGTAAGCTTGGCCTTCTCCGCTAAGGCACTTAAGGTGGCTGTGCGCTCCTGGATGAGGGAGAGAGAATACAAAATAAAGCAAAAGGGAGAGGTTACAAAAATCAGGAAACACCAGCAACACTGTTTTTGATGCCAGGGATTGGCTTGTACTAGAATAATACTGCCAAGCTCAAGAAGGTCTGGAGAAAATCTTAGCCACAGAAATTGTAGAAAGGGTTATGTTTCACTGCTATTAAGTCGTCCTCTACCTTATTTTATTAGCTGAAAGTGAAACAATGACCCATAGAATCTCTGGGATTTTGTGCTTGAATTTCTCCAGACTTCTGTGAGTTCCACAAGACGAATGGCCATGCCAGATATTGTACAGTAAGTGTAAACTGAGATCATAAGAATGCCATGAGTTACACAAAGAATCGTTTTACACCCAAGATAATTTCACACCTACAAGAGGGTTTTCATAAGTAACTTATGCTACTAAATAGAAATGTTCCAGAGCTGCTTTGTGCATGATGTAACTCATAATACAAATAACATTGTGATACATTAACCATGATAATAACTGTAGTAGGATTACAGCAATTCGGTGTTACAAGACAATCTTCTACGAGACATCACATCAAGTTAATGGGATTTTTTTTATTAAACTTATTTTTTTCACTGTTTATATGTCTCACCTTAAATATCATATTGTTTTAGATGTTTTCAGTGTGTTAAAATTAGTTATATAAATAAATTAAAGCAAACAAAAATCAAATTGCAGGGAAAAATCAGTGTACTGATTATTTCAAAGAGACTGTATAATGATACTGGTGTCAGGGTATTCATAATATACAAGAAGAAATCAGTATATTGATGTATTAATTAATTGTCCCACCCCTACAGAAAATAAATTATGGCTATGGGACGTAGACTGTGTACCTTGATAAAGTTTTCATATGAAGGTTCGCCAGGCTGTGGAGGGTTGACCACCAGGTCCATTAGAGCCTGTCCAGGAACCGGAGGACACAGGCGGACAGACACAAGCTTGGTCAGCTGGGCCTTCACCTCATTGTCCATGTTGATGATCTCCATGTAGCCTCCACGGAAGCCGCACCTAAGAGGGAGGGAGCAGACAAAAATTATGTAAGAAAGAAAAAGAAAAAAGACAGCAAACACAAAGAAATAGTTGTCAATCTTACAGATTTATCCCAGCATGAAAGAAAAATGACTTACTCTCCCATGTAACATTTAGAGGTGGAGTGGAAAGATACCAGCTCCACTGTATTTGAGTACTCTGGCCCCATCTCAAACAGAACCTTCTTAAAAGAGTGGAACTGGCATCCATCAGCATACACATTATCCTGGTACACCTGGGAGATAAAGATAGAATGACAGATGTCACTGGTCTGCAGAAAACAATAAAGCAGGTAGATGTTAAAAAGAGATGCGGGAGACGGTACCTCATCAGCCATGAGGAACAGACGTTCCTTTGCTGCAAATCGGATTACATCCTCAATGCACTGTCTGCTCTGAACCTGACCTGTGAACGGGAGGGAGGCTCATTACAGAAAAAGGTTTGAAATGGTGACGAGGCAGACAGTTATGTCAATTTGCTGCCATCTAGTGGCTCTTCTACTCCAGCTGAGCAACGGACAGCCATTCTTAGGTTCTGTGATGACAACTGAGCTATCTCCATAACCATAGGCCACACTGTGCAGTTGAAAGCCCAGATAAATATATATCTCCTGAAACTGACACAACTGGATAATCTTGACTGCTGAACATATGTGTAATATGTGTAATGACAAATACAACCTAGTAGTTACTACCTAACCCTAAAAAATGAAGGAAACTTTACCAGTGGGGTTTCCAGGGTTGATGATGCACAGGGCTCGGGGGTTGCAGTGGCGGCGAGCTTCGTCCAGGGCGCGCTGCAGCTCGCTGATGTCCATACTCCAGCACTTTTCCTCATTAAGGTAATAGTTGACCTGCACGGCGCCCAGCTCAGCCAGCGCAGCCGAGTACAGGGGATACTGAGGTATGGAGATCATGACGCCTGTACGGGTCGCACCCTCGCCACACACCAGCAGCTTCAGCATGGTCTAAAAGTGAAGGACAGGCAGGTAAAGAAAGATATGTCAGCTCAACAAATTTTAGAATGATATACACACAGCAGCAAGAAGGTACACAGTAAAGGGTTGGAAAATATAAGTTTTCTCAAATCTTTGTTGCTTTCTGGACAGTTGTAACTCTACAAACTATTTGAAATAAAACACTATGAAAGGGAAACATCAGAGATAGCCCATAGATAACATATGACAAGGGGCTGTGAGTGGATAATACCAGGCTATTAAAAGTGTCACAAACCAACATGTTTGGGCATCAGGGATACAATTTTCTCTTGAACAGATGCTATTTTTTTGTCTTCACAAGTTGCAGCTTGTGTGATTTGTCACAACTGGAGTGCTACATTTTATTCCTATTTCTTTTGGGGAAATCAAACATACAAACATACATGTTTGGGAAGTGCAACAGGGACAAAGTCAGTTTAACAGATAGGAGATGATTTGTACCACAATGCCATCGCTGGCCCCTGTGGTGAGGTAAATGTTGTCTGGGTCACAGGGCACACCGCCATCCCTTCGCTCAATGTAGCGGGCCACATCCTGGCGCACAGAGTCTATTCCCTGACTGGCACTGTAGGAACCTAAGGGAGATTTATGTGGAGACAATACAAGTTGCTGTGACAACTTAAAAACTTTAAGACACCAAAGCAAGACCAGAAAGCATACTTTAACACACAAGGGGCGTATAAAGAGAGTGAAGGTGATAATTAGCACCTGGGGTTATACAAAGCTGATTGTGCTTGCACAGAAGACCAACACACTCATACACACCCATACTGTTCCCTCCACAGGACTGCAGAATGCAGCGTGCTCTACTTTTAGCATCCTCTGGGAATGTGCTGTCATTCAGCAGTTCAGGGTAGGAGCAGAGCGCCAAGACCTTGAAACAAAGAGAGGTGTGAGTGTAAAGAGTGGAAGGACATTGTGCAAAATCCTGCACGGATAACTGCATAAGACAGGAAAAAAATGATTGACAGCATCTTAGTTAAATAGACGTCAGTTTCAAATTAGTTTAATAGACGTCAGAGGAGAGGTTCTATATCTATATTTAGATGAGAAATTGGGGGAAGGGCTGAGGAGCAGACCTGTCGGAAGAAAGTGATTGGCTGCTGGCCCATAGCATGGGCATCGCCAATGTTGGCCTTGATGACCTCAGCAAAGGGCTTCTTCATTCCCTGCAGAACATAAACACAACATACACACATGATTATATATCTGAAGTGAAAACGTGTGAACAATGAGCAGTTTGTCACTTTGTGCAGAAGAAATAATAGATTTTCTGAAATGTACATTGACTGCCCATTAACAAACCTGACTCAAACTGTCAAAGAGAATGGGGTTGGCTTAGAACCCCCCACTGCACAACAACTTTGACACTGCACCTACACGCAGGCTTAAAGACATATATAGCTTTTCCATAAACATTTAGGCCACAAGAGGCTGAGAGATCAACAGCTGCTGCGCAGCGGGTTTGGAGGTTTACCTAAAACCACTTCCAGGGATGAGTTATACGGTCTGTTGGTTATACTGAACTGCTGACTTTCCTGCACCGAATGTATAAAGAAAGAAATGGTGGAAGTTAAAATCTTCACCAAGGTGAAATTTGGAATAAATTTTTAGCTATACCGTGCCTTCTGTATCACATTGCCTATCCCAAATGTTAATCTTTCTGGACAAAATTTTGACAAAATAAATTAAGGGTTAAAATAGACTCTCAGCTCCAGGACTACATGCATAAAGTGCTTCCAAATGGGCAGGTTGACTCTTAGATTTTGCTGGTGAGAAAAAGAAAATGTTCATAACAGCACATTTTAAATTTTAACTTTTTTAGCTTTATGTAAGTTCTCATTTGATCAAGTCAGTAATTATACTAGTGCGATTCTATTTTTCCTCCAGTTACAGGAGAACTCCATTAAAACATACCCTGTGAAGTTTTTTTTTACCATTAGTGGCACTATGGAGCACTATTTAAAGAGTGAGTCCATTCATGAGCATGTGCACAAGGAAGGGATGTGCAAAAACTGTGAAAATAAACAAAAAAACTCCATAGGGTAGCTTTAATTTTCAGGTTTCCAATGAAATTCCACAAGGCAGATTTTCTAAGTAACAGTAAATAATGTAAAGGTCCAGTGTGTAACATTTAGGAGGATCTTGGAAGAAATAGAATATGATATTTATAGGTATGGTTTTATTAATGTATATTGAAATGCCGGAAAATGAGAATGATGTTGATTTTTATCTACAGAGTGAGCAGGATGCCATGTTTCTACAGTAATATTTTAGGCAAAGGACTTGAGGGAGGTTACAGTGCAGCACTATAGCAGAGGCCATTTAGTAAAAAACAATTTAGCCTTGAAGTACACTGTTTGGGCAAACATAGGAACAAAGTTTCAACCTGTGCAAACTATCTTATCGTACTGATACCATTAACCTTCTGACACAGAAACACACAGACATACATTACACAAGGGCTTTTAACTTCCTTCAGGGTAGACAGAAAAAGAACAGGAGGTATGACAGCACAGCAGCAGTAAACGTCACCTCAACAATAATTAGCAGAATATATTACCAAAATAAAAGTATTCATTTACTGTCGCTGGGGTCAATGATATAACGTTTCTGAAATACGATCTCTTAAGCAGCTGAGACCACTGACAAACAGCAATGCGGACAGACACGTGCACATATACAAGCAAGCACACACACGCTGGTAACACCAGATGTTGGGAACAGCGTGACACTGCAGAGAAGCCACAAGTGGAATTGCACGCTGATACCCTGCGGAAATCAAAACAGTCTGTTTGTTTGATTTGTCCAATCCAGTTCAGATTTTAAGCCTCTCTCTCTGGCTCCCTCATTGGTCGCATACTAGAGGCGTCTCTCTGTCTGGACCAATAACAATATACGTGGTGATTAACACCCCTAGGTCAAAAGTACCGCCCATTCATGATGAGGGTCTTTCAGAAACACTCTGACCTCTACCCCTGGGAACCAACTCAAAAAGGCTTGTGCTTTTTGTCTTCCACCACTGATGAAAACTGCCCAGCAAACAATGCTTAAGTACCAACAGAAGGTGAAACTGTGCTCTTGATGTACAGCTCAGGCAGTATTTCTTTTTACTTCCAAGGCTTTACAAAAGAAACGTTTCAGTTAATAGCATACCGCAAAGCTGAAGGATACTAAACCGAGATAAGAAAATTCACTTTGCAGCCAGAAAGTTGATGCCACATGCACTCAATATTCAAATCAAAGCATTTGAACTGCAAACCCATCATGGATTCAACAATGGAAAACATTTTTAGAGTTTTGCATTTTGCTTTTCATTCTGGCTGAATATGTGGAAAGAGTCTGTCTATGGTCTGTCCCTGTAGCAACTCTCTCAAAAAGGTCCCCATTCACCGTCAGCTCGCTACTTATTAGGACAAACAAAGACCTCAATGTAATAACTGCGTGAAGCCTTTATCTGTGCACTTGTTAAATGGTACAGTAATTTAGTGCAAAGTCTTGTTTCCATTCCCCATTTAGAAAATCTGCAAAACAACAACCAACACAGGTTTAGCATAAGGGAAACAAACAAGAACAAGGCTGCACTTGTTGCTGTAAATTAAGATCCCAGTTCCCCAAAAAAAACAAAAAAAGAAAACAAGTTGTGTAGGAAATTGGAGTAGAGGATCACAGTGTGCGTTCGTGTGTTTAATTCACTGACAAAAGTGAGAATACCTCTGTGACCTGTTTCCCAAAGTAACCCAACCCCGTCCAAACTGCAGTTTGAAAGGAAGGTGATTATAAAATGAACGGGAATCTGTTTTTGACCAAAGAGCAAGGACAGTCCAGTGCTTCTGCAGAACACAATGGGAGGACTGTAGATGATTACTCGGGGTACATTTTTGCCTTCTGGCTGGGTGCTGCACTATTGAAAACACTGGCAGCTGAACAGTCTGCAGTGAGTGAACAAACTTGCGGTGCTTCCCTTGTCCTACATGTTAATGTGATGAATAAAGGATTCATTAGCAGCTGTAAGATTATTCTCTTCTTTATCCTACCCTTTAATATATCCTGACAGTGTTTTACCAGCTGAATCCAGCTGCAATTTCTTCTGCTTTTTGAACATCCAAATATCAATTAGATAATGCCTGAACTCTTGTTTGGTCAAGAAGAGAATAGATATCCTATAGAGAAAGGGGGTCAGCTGCAGATAAACACTGGCCAAAGCAAACATGACATAAAACATAAAATCCATGGTGCCAGTGGGCCATCTGCTTAAAAAGGCCACCACTGTCATTACAGTCCCTGCTGGACGATGCTGCTGCCGCCTTTCACCTGTGCAAGAACCTGTTCGCATACTCATCCCTTCCTGAGCAAAGCACTCAAGAGAAGACAGTTTTCACACCAGACTGCACTTGGTACACTAACAGCTGGTTGCCACATCACCATAAACCATGCAAGAGGAAGGGATCGAGTAGATTTTTTTTTGAAGAGAAATGCACAAATGGTCTGTATTTAAGGAAATAAACTCAAATATATTGGACAAAAACAAAATCAGTTTATACTGTAGATTAAAAAGAGCTGTGCTGGACAGAAGAACTGAAAACTTGATATTCCTAAATACTTCTCTACTTTTGGGAAGACCATTCGCTACAGAAATAACACTCTATGCTTGCCTACAGCTGTTAAAATGAAGGGTACAACAGTGATCAGCCTTGAAGGTTGGACAAAGGAGATAAAGTGTAGCAACAGATATGTTCATCACTAGTATGTCAAACAGTGAGCTACAGATATAAACAGGACAGAAAAACAAAGTCTCTGGCTTAGAATATGTACTTTTATCTCTGAGGATCCCTCCATAAGTAACTGTGGTTTAGAAACAGGGGGGAGGGGGCTGACAAAGACAATTTAATAACATCAAGAATGGCTTAAGAACAGGTTAGAAATTAACATCAAGCAGAGAACTATCTGGATTACACCGTCTACAGTTTGTGTCATGATAAACCTCCTCAGGAATCACTGACTAGCTGATGGACTTTGATAGGAGGGTGTGTAAGCAGCAAAGCAACTGATAACAGTTTTCTTTTGGGATAAAGTTTAGGAGGTAATAGTGAGAGCATAAGCAGGAACGGAAACCTGCTGATGTGCAATTATATCTAGTGAAAGACACACACACAAAAACACAAGCATTGAATAAGCATGCAGAGCCCCTTTTAAACTGAATTCAATGTGTCAAGGTTCAAAGAGATGAAGAAGAAATGACTAGAAATAACTTTATTATAACAAGTCCTGGCAGGTATGAGTCCTAACAGTAAAATGGCTTTTGGATTGATTGGTGGAATAATACATTTCTTCTTGTTCTACAATCTTTTAGGCACAGTATGAGCAGAATAAGCCTATAACTGGCAAATAAAATGCATTTCCTATGCACAGATGAGGAATTAGGAAACCTGATATGGTCCATTTACATGCACACATATATAGATACCAGAGATCAGACTGCTGTACAAACCTCAGAGAGCTCCCTCTCTAGCTCCACAGCCCGCTGCACGATGGGCCCCCGCACCGCGTACTCCACCTTCTTCACCGTGGGGTTCATGGTGTCGATGGTCAACACCTTGGCCCGGGACGACACTCCGTTCTCGGACATTTTCTCTTTGGGGAGCCCGCGCCGCGTCGCACTCAGACTCGATAAAGCTCTGCCGGGAGAGGAGGACAGAGGGTGAGAGGTCAGTGAGCGGACCCTGGGACGACCACCAACTCCACCAACACCACCACCACTAACACCGCAGCCGGCCCGCCGCGCTCCGCTGCAACCGGCAAACAATTCGTTTCCACCCTGGCTTAAAAGCAGGACGTTTCTGGGTGACAGCAGCTGCATCCGTGTGGCTGACATGTTTACACCGCCTTCTGTCTCTCAACAAGTTGTGGGACTTTTCAAACGCGTCTGCTGCGGTGCAACGGAGACCTGCACCACACCGGTTGCTTCACTCGAGAAAAGTTGTGCAAGTGAAGGCACCACGCTCCTAAAAATGACTCAGACCTCGGACCTTTGGACCCTTCAGGGGTGGGAGGTGGAAGTGCTAAAGGAGGCTTCGACAAAATAGTGATTGAAATCCCAGGATGTTCCTTCTGGCTCTGTCAGCATCCACATTACACTGACTAAGCTTTTCGCTCTGAAGTTTTGGAGTTTGTTCCCTGCACACATGGCAACCCTAGAGCCAGTTACCCTCCCCCCTTTGTGTGGCTTCATGTAAACTGTTATCCCACCCCCCTCTCTCTCTCTACCTCGACCCCCGTTATCCTACGCACCGTGAGGCTGTCAATCAGGTCCGGTTCTCCGGTTACTGAGCCGAAACTGCTTTGGACGACTGACGTGGCTCAGAGGTAAACAAACAGTGAGCCGCTGCAGCTTCCAACCTTTTACTGAGCTCACCGCGCTGCGTCCCGCTTTCTCAATGCTCCATGCGGGTTTGGGAGGAGACGATGAATTAGTATATGGTGAATTAAAATGCTTGTGAACGCTCCTCCTATCTCGACTGGAGCCCCACTTAGGTTACCCTCTATTACTCCATTATGTCACCTTATCTTCTATTAGGGGCTTTATTTCTCAGAGGTTATTGTTCAGTGTTTTGTGTCTGCATTGTTTATAGTCCCTCGATGGGGGGGTCAGACAGGAGGAACCAGGTTAAACTGGGATGGCTCTGTGTGTGTGTCATGTACTCTCCTCAACCACAGGAACCTATACACACAAACTGAGCATGAAGAGAAGAGCATCTGTGATTAGAAACCGTGTACTGGGGATGTTACTGTGACTTTCAGTGCCTTCGTATTAAAATGTAAGACTGGAGAAATCTAAAAACAACACAAAATATTTAAATTATCATTCCACATTCAAGTGTTCATTCAATAATGGTGTGTGTGGTTGTCAGCAGTTATTATTATAGCAATATGTGGCGCAGAATACACAGAACATTGTCGTTTTTAGTTTTTTTACATATGTAAAGTGTGAATTATTCAACTAAATTACTGACAGATGCTTTTAGTTACACTCTCTCTGCCTCATAGTTGTCAAGAAAATGTCTGAGATATGAAAACACGTTATAAAAATGTTACTGGCTAGTGGATTAGATCTCATCTGCAGTTGCACAGCCCTCAAGTTTTCCAATGAAACGTTCAACCGTTAAAGCCCAAAACAGTATCATTATCACATTAGTGGTGCAAAAAATGACTGAATGGACCATTGAACGACACAAAGACGCACAAAGAGCAACCAACTATATTTAGGATTAAAAAAAACAGCACAAACAAATAAATAATGTCAACATTACTGAAGCAAAACGATTCCACATGTCAGAGCAACAAACAGCAGGCACTTATTCATCCCAGTGTTACAGTTTCACATGATTCTCTTAAATGTTGGAATACGGTGCAGTCGTGGTGATAATGTTCAGTAAATCTAAGCAGCATTCGTGGCTGTGAGAGAAACAGTGAGGTTGGACAACAGTGATTTATCTTCTTCTTGAATGGAAAACAAAGCTCAAAGCAGTTCACGTTGGTAGGACGTTGTTTTCATATTTTCATCAGCATTAAATTAGTAGTTTAGTAAGAATACCTGGTGAGACCATTAACAGTGAAACCCTTTTGCATTGTACATCTCTTACCAGTGGTCAGTTAATCATTATAAGTCCAAAAGATGGATTATTTTATGTTAGTCGTCATGTAATTATCATGCATGAATAGCTATTCACGTGTGAATGAATATATTAACAGGTTAAAGGTTGTGTGTTTACTGAAACTTAAGCTGTTACAACAAAGTAAGTTGTTTCAGTTAAAACCCAGTGGCTGTAACTATATCAGAAAGAGTCTGCGTGGCCACCGTACGCAGTGCGAAGGTGGGCACTGACAGCGGGATGAGCAGGTAGAGCTGGTGCTGTGGCGTCTGAAGTCCGAAGCTTTTGCACTCTTCTGTAACGAGGTAGCACTGCAGCGGCTGGTGGGAGAATCCGAGGACAAAGTCTTCGGCGGCGCCTCTCTGAGCCGTCTCCTCTGGGGACACACACAGAGTCTCCTCCTGGGAGAAGTAGCGTGTCGTGCTGAAGATGTAGAAGAGCCTCAGTAGCTCCCAGCAGCGGGCCTTGGACGGTACTTCAGGGTCACCAAGCAGATGATTAGTCCGCACGCAGGAGACTGAGCGACGGGTCTCACGGTTGATGAGGAGAAGTGCCAGCACATCAGGGCGCAGCGAGACCGATCCTGGTAAGCAGCGCTCTCCAACAGCCAGGCAATCCCTGAGGGTCTCCACCAGGGGCGTCCAGAACCGAACCACCAGCCCGCTCTCAGCTCTGTGCAGGGTAGGAGTCGGGCCACACAGCACGCACACATCTGCCCCGGGGAGCAGCTGGAAGCGGAGCAGGCGGTGGGCCACGGTGGGGCTGCCCTGAGGAAGGAAAACTGGGTAATCACAAGAGGTGGACCCGGAGGCAGAGAGGGAGCGCATCAGGGCAGAGAGCAGCACCACTTCCTGCGGTGCCAGGCGCCACCACTTCTCAGTTGCCGCAGCGACCCGCCCGTGGACGATGAGGCAGCCAAATTCACTGTCCGCAGCCTGAGCGAAGCCATCCACGGCCTCCTGAAGAAGAGTGGGGTTAGGGGGCAGAAGGGAATCAGCGCAGTGTGTTAGGTTACCCAGAATGCCACCTTCACTCCCCTCCAACAGCTGATCTATTAAGCCGAAGCAGGACCTCAAGTCCCTCTTCAGCCTCTCCACATTCCTGACACTGGCCAGCTCATCCTGCCCCAACACCAGCACCATGCAGCTCCACACATCCTCCAGGAGGCGCTGTAAGCGGAGCTGCTCCCCTCTGCTGCCGCCTGCACCTCCACCTCCAGTCACAGCGATGAGCATCACGCTGTCCTCAAACACCCTCCACACCACCTTCCCGCCGCCCTCAGTCTCGCAGGAGGACAGCGCTGCTCCCTGGCCACCCCCGAACATGTGGACGCCGTTCAGGGAGCCGATGACGGAGAAAGGCAGCTGCTTGGAGACTCCTCTGGTGAAAAGCGGAACCCCGCTGCTGGCGGTGAGGCAGAGGAGCTGCGTTGAGCCGTCCTGGAGCATCATGGTGGGGGCTTAACGAGCTGCCTGTGGTTCACACCTCTCTCAGCCGCAGAGTTCTTCTTGAAGCTTTTTTTTTTAAACTAAATTATTCGCTACTTCAACTCAAAAACGTGAACTTATTACATCAGTGATGGTGAGCGCCTCCGTTAGCTGTTAGCATCTTGTTAGCGTTAAACCATGAACCGGGTACAAACGAGACAAACGATAGCATGCAGCAAAGCAAGCGTTATTCATATATATTTATATTTATATATATATATATATTTATATATATCATGGCTGGAGCTCACACACATCCACGCACCTTAGTTACCTAACTGTGTTTAACATGTTAACAAAACAAGTTACCGTCGTTTCCACAGTAACGATGTCCCATGATTCTTTCCTAACCGGCGAGTGCAGGTTCATCCGGCTGGTCGAGTTGCAGTTGTTATTTTCGAGCTCCGTTAAACCCTCTGAAGGAGCGGGGCAACAATACCGACCTGGGTTCAGTCTCCGGTGTTCATGGGAGTGGCGTTCACCATCACGGATTTGACTCACTTCTCGCGAGAGTTGAACCGCGGGAACACTAGCTGGCTGGTGGCGCTGCTTTATTATTGTGTGTGATCGATATGTAAATTAATCGGCTTTTTGTTTTGATTATGACTAACGATGAGACGTAAGTAAGAGTACATTTACTCAACTAACACTAGTGTAATATAGAGTATTTTAATTGTATGTTACTTTATACTTCTACTCCCTGGAGCCCCACTATGACACAATGAAATAATCATATGAATAAATAAAATATAGGCTACACAGCAAAAGAAACATTCAATCTTATTTTATCATTTTGATTTTGACTTATTAAATTGGATTGTTTTTGTAAGTTTATTTTCTAGGTTTCAACTTTTTTTTTTTTTAGGATAATGTGGGTGATCAATAGGCCAGGGGTGCCAATTTTCATGGTTCCATGGTTTATTTTCAGTTTATTTAAGTTATTTTAAGTGTTGGTTTTTAATTTGTGCTTTTCCAATAAGACCTTTATTAAAATCTGTTTATTTTAACTCACTTTCTTATCACTTTTACTATTTTCGTGAGCTGATAATGCAAGACTTACTCATAAAATGAGTATATTTTATATTTAGTCTTTTACTAGAATAGAAAAACTACCCATGATCCATAACATTATTTATGTAATACATTTTTTCTGGTATTTAGTACACTGGCTGCCTTCCAGTGGATCAAACAAATTAGAAAAATACTTTTTGCTGCTGTTTTTCTTTTTAAATCTCTGTATTGAAATACAAAACTAAGGAAATACAATGACCTCAGAGCAAAC